TAAACCTATTGTAAATTAATTTCTTACAGGCCATAAAACAGCCACCATAAGGAAATACGTTATATTGCTATGGACCACATCAGAAATAGCAATCTAATGCTACCTTACTAATTCCCAAGTCTTCCATGGTCTTGCTCCATCTCCAACTGTCTCTTTCTCCTGAATTAGACACATCATTGAACTGGATAAAGATGGATAATTTTGTCCTTGTGTTTTACAAGGATGTAACGGGAAGGATCATACAGTGTTCAGATTTCTTCCCAACTGATGGAAATGTGCGGCCCAAATCTCATGAACAGCCAGTTAAGGGACATTTTGGAGAAGACAACAGAAAGGGAAGGAGAGCAGCAGTGAGGCAATGAAACATAATGGTGGGAGGATGACTACTGATGAGTCTGTGTGGAAGCTGTTCTGCCAGCTGGCGTATGAACCTTTCAATCAGCAGAAATTAAGTGTATTACAGAGTGGATGAAGAATTATTTTTCTGCCCAGATGCCAAAAGGAAAGGAGGACACTGGATAGGTGCTTTGATCCCTGAACTGTCCCAAACATCAGAATGAGAGATTTACAAACCAGTTACTGGGGAAAAAAAATTAGGGAGAGGGATTTTTTTGTTTTGTTTTTACTGACTCATTATCACAGCTCATCGGCCTAAGCTTGTGATGACATGGTATTTTATTAACCTGTTAAAATGGCCAAATCCTAAGCAGCCAGGGCTGGGACAGGCTGAAAACTCTGCCAGCCCATAAAGCTTGTCAAGACTTAAATCGTTAAAAGTACAAGGGAAAAAGAAACAATTTTCTGTTTCTGTACAGGCTGGCTCACTCGGACGACACCCCATGGTGCTGTTTTGCACGGGCAGTTTAGAGAACAGGGATTTAGGGAGGGTGAAGAAGAGGCAGTTACAGCACTGTACTGGGTGCAGGTGCAGGGACCAGCAGTGGGGGGCTACAGGGCAGCCTCCATGAGGAGAAACTGGAGCTGCCCCCGTGCTGGACACAGAGGGCTCCAGCCTGCTCCAACAGACCCACCCACCGCAGGGCACAGCTGAGCCCCTCAGCCAAGACAGTGGCCCTTCTGTGAAAACGTATTTAAGAAAGGGCAAAAACCACCACACAGGCAGAGGAGCAGAGAAGAAAAAGGGCGAGAACCAGCCCTGTGAACACCGAAGTCAGAGAAGAAGCTGGAGGTGGAGGTGCTTGAGTCACTAGATCAGGTATTTCCCTGCAGCCCACGGAGAGCACCATGCTGGAGCACACATCCACACTGCAGCCCATGGAGGATCCCACATCGAAGCAGATGGAAGTCCATGGAGAGCCCACACTGGAGCAAGGAAACAGCACGAGGAAGCAGGAGCGGGACAGTGTTACAGACTGACTGCCATCCCCTGCTCCTCAGGGCATGGGCAGAGGAGTCCGGAGTGAAGGTGAGCCTAAAAGGCAGGAGGATGCTAATTTTTTTGCCTTTGTTTCTCACTATCCAAATCTGTTTTAATAAATAAATTAGAGCAATTTTCCCCAAGTCAACTCTAGTTACTAGTGGCAGTAACTAGTATGCAATCTCCCTGTCTGTAGTATCTCAATGCACAAGTTTTCTCATTCTGTTTTGTTCCCTCTGTCCAGTTGAGGGGGAGTGAGAGCACCTGGGTGGGCACCTGGCTGCTGGCTAACCCACCACAGGCACTCAAACTGAGTGGCAATACAAGGGGAAGGCTGAAGATTTCAGCACGGATAGTGCAAAGTTATTTCTTCCACTGATGGGATCATCTACACTAAGAAGTCATTAACCACATGTTAAGAAGAAGAGAACCCAGTTGTATAAAATCAACAGACTTAATGCCTCTTACTCTGTTTATGCAAACATGATGTTAAGAAGTACAGAAGAAATTAATAATGAAATACAGTTTATCAACAAGTATAACAAGGGTATATTTATAACAAAAATAACTTCTCAACATATTTTTGAGAGGAAAGTGTTCCAAGAAATCATTTATTTTTTCATACATAAAAAAGGACTGCAGATAGGTTTTAAAATAAGACATTTACTTAAATGCTTTTTCTCTTGATGAGAAGACTTAAGAAAACTCTGAATTTTGAACTTCAAGCTGACAGAATTTCTTTTAAGAACTCTTCCAGTAAAAACCAATTTATTTCTGTTACCATTATGCGTCTTATATTGGGTTTTGGGGGACTTTTTTTTTTCTTTTTCTTTTTTTTTTTAAACAAATTGGCCAAGTCACAGACATGCATTCTCTAACTAGCCAATGTTTAAACCTGTAATACTTTGTTAAGTTTTTCAGTTTAAGGCTATCTAATAGATTCTAGTGAAGAAAAAAAAAATTAAAAAAATTGCACCTGTTTTCCAAACATTTTTTTTAAAATTCAACTATTACCTTTTGGTCATCTTTAACATCATGAGAATAAAACTGAAACAAACTAAAATCTTCTGGAGGTCCTCTGCTTGCCCTTGGTGGTGTGTTTTTAAAATTTGGTAAAACATCCACTTTGCACTTTGATATTTGTCTTCAATATTTAGATAGCATAAAACCAAAATAATTTGTTATTTTAATGGCATCAGGAACTCTTGTGCAAATAATCCAGCTCCAGGGGTCAGATGAAGATTGCTAACACAACAAGATGCAGGATAAGACAAAAAATAACCATCTAAAAAATATCTTGCAGGTTATGAAGGATATGGAACTAGCTGCTAAAACTATTTTCTTTCTTAGCACAGCACATGCTCAAGTTCTTCAACATTCATGCTTCATAAATATTCATGATGATTTAAAAAGATGGCTCTGAAATGGTCTTAGAAGAATCATTCTGGGCACAACCATGCCCAAGCACTTGTTGACAAAACCAGATGTATGATACTAGATTTTCCACCCAGTCACAGAGTGGGCAGTAAGTGTTGCAAATGGTCCCTTGTCCAGAGCTGTATTAAAAACATGCCGAGATTGTTTCCCTCACTTCTGCTTCTTTTCGTGTTGTTTGCTGAACGTTACATCCCAGTATACTCAAAGGCAGATGATCTAGTACCTACATTGCTGCCTTCTGGAGTTCTTGTAGTGACAGAGTACAGGAAAGAATGAGGTCACTTTAACAGATAGCACTGTATAGCATCTTATCCTGAGTCTAACTGCGATTATTGAAGATGTCTGTAAGATCCCTCTAAGCTCTATGGGTAAAAAATTTCGCATTATGCATCGATAACACAGATCCTACAAGTGATGCAGCGGAATTTTGTGGATATTTGCTCATGAATGCACCAACACAGAAATACCACAATGTTCAATTTAAACTGCTGTAAATATATCTGCAGCTAACAGTAGTACTTGTTACTTGTTCAACCCCAGATGATTCTGAGCTTTGTCCATTTTCCTTTGCGTCCTTTTTTGAAAACAAAAGCAGTTCCCAGAACTTCTATGGGGGAAAAGACAGGCTTGCGGTTCCTTTACTAGTATTTAATCTACTTCATATGTTCTGATTGCAAGGTGTGAGAAAACCTTGAAAAACAACACATAAGCCATGTTCATTAATGTTAGATAATTAGCTACCATTATGATGTAGGGTTTACCTTTCAGATATTTCCCTAACAAAAAGCAGTACTTTCACTTTGTTCTTCTAGGAGAAATGATATGTCAAATCAAGAATGATTTACAATCAATTCTTTTTAATTCCTGCTATTGACATGTCTAATTCTTACATTTTCCTCACTCTTCAGGTTGATAAACCAGAAAGGATAAATTACACTGCTACACAATAATAAGCTATTTGGGCCTAACAACTATGTACATCAAGAAATAATAAGCAGATGTGGTAACTAAAATTCTCAAAGAAAATATGGCAGTTTCTCCATCCATTCACTGCATCAGGAAAATCAGTGCTGAGCATGTGACCTTCCCCATAACCTCCCCAAACATTTCAATCCTTGTGCCCATACAGCACTGCTTTTTAAATCAAAATGTAAACTTGCAATCCAGAAAAATAAATTCTCAAGGCCAAGGACATTACACATACATCTTCCTGTGAAAACATGGTACTTTCCGTATGACATTGATTTCCCAAGCTTAAAAGAGGCCAGTATGAAGAAGATGGGGACACAAAGGAAGACGTTACCTATCAGCACAGTTTGCTGCAGCTAAAAGACAGAGTTTAAGTACTGTCACTTTTTGTGAACATTGAAGGAGAGAGAAACTTGAAAAAGGTATCTGAAAATTAAATTAACAGCAGTTTTGGTGGACACAGAAACTAAAATAAGGAATAGATTCCCACGTTGCTGGGAATTCAAGATGCGATAAGGGAAATGAACACTCCAAGGTAATAAAAACACTTATTTTGCTCTGTGTTGCTCTGGACTGAAAACAGTTACAAAACAATCAGCCACTAGAGCTACAGTTAAAAACAGCCCTTTCTCCCAAATAATTAATATATACAGCTTTGCTGGACCTTCAAAGAATACTATACCAGGGCAAAATAGTACAAGTCAGAGAGGTAACTTATTACATGAAAGTTTTTGATTACAGGCTAATTAATACTTATTGTCTTTTTCTTACTTTATTTATCATGTATCAAAGACTAAAGTAGCATGCACAAAGCCAAATGTCTTCTGGCCACCACACATGTGACTTAACCAGATTACCTCATTACCTCTGCCTTACTCAGAGAGAGTTAACTCAGCAGTAATTACGAACTGTTTGGATGATAATAGTCTTCACTTGATAACCAGAAATAGTGCTCAGCAACTGAGGCAAGAAAGGTGAATTTTGTAATAAGTTTTATATTAAAAATAAGAATTCCTTGTACTACAAAATCATATTTTATTTCACTAGATATGAACAGTTTTTGGAGATGAAGAAAGTTGAAGGTGGAAACTAAACTCTAAGGAAAGGACGTTGCTTTACAAAAACTTCTACTTCCCTCCTTCCCTGCGAATAAGCAGTTGCAAAACCTCAATGTGTTTGGAAATACACATACAGAGGGAATGCTTAAAATTCTTACCTTATGAAGAGTGTCTTCCACAAATTTCATATGACTAATAATCAATTCTTTGTCTCTATTAAAAGAGAAAAAAAAACAGAGTAGTTAATAGAACTGAAGCTGTATTGATGTAGAAATTAATTTTCTGTTACTTTATAACCATCACATCTTTTAATAATATAATTAATATTATTAATAATAATATTATTAGTAATAATAATTCTTTAAACTGTTATATTTGTATCTCCCCTTTTTGTATCTCCAATGCAAACCCTAAAAAGTAGTTCATGGACAACTATTTGGCACATTTCCATAGGAAAGATGCTTCTGTTGTGGACAAGCAATTAAACTAGCTGTACTTAGAGGCATATCAATGAACAACTATCATGTTCTTGGAGAAGAAATCTGCAGTCTTGGATAAAAAGGGCATGTTGAATGAAGTCCAGGCTCTAGCAGGAAGAGATTACATTCTCATACTGCAAAACACTGACAAATTCTATGTTTTTCATCAATTATATTGGCCTAACAACTATGTACTTATATGCATATAAGTATTCCTGTCTTCTCTAAAACTGAACATTCCACTGGTCCCTTTCCAAAAGAAGTCCAGTCCAGAATTCTATCCTTACAAAACACAAGTACTGGTACTCTCATGATTTTTTGTAGATTAGGGCTTCACTAAGAAAGACAATTTTGATCGTTACACTGCCATAAAAAGCCTTGGTCTCATCTGATGCATTGACAGAAATGGAATTAAAGTTGCATAATACCATAACACTAAGGAGAACAGGACAGCGTGACCAACAAAGCACGATAGGAAATCAAATGGAATCTATGCCAGAAAAGCTGATACACTTTAATATTCCAGGACTGTCTTTTACCTTGTCAGCTATATCAATATTTTGTCTGAACTCTTACAGTTCCTAAAACAGGAGTCAAAACCATAGCGTTCCTCTGCTTGGAACGTACAGGAAAGTAACTTGGTAAGTTAGCTCTAGAGAGCCAGTTTAACACCATTAATTTCTAAGTTAGTTACTGAGATAGAAGCCAGTCTGTTCCTCGCATATTCTTGGATGTGCATCATAAAAATAAAGTATCTTTAGACAGAATTTTGGACTCAGGTTAACAGGTGGTTCCCAGTTTCTTGTTTTTTGTGAACCGAAAGATCTCTGACTATGGTCGATTTATTATCTTAAATAACATCTTAAAATAAAAGTCTGGTAATATTTGTTTACAGCACCCAGGAAAAAGAAAAATTAAAAATGAACCTATTGCATTCCATGCCAAGATTTACATTTCATTCAAACTTTATTTCATATATTTATCAACTCCTGCCGGTGTAAGGCAAATTGGAATTGGATCATAGAACTATTCTTTGGGATTATTGTCCAGAAACGTGGTTCAGGCATGAGGAACACGCTTTGCATCATCTTTTACACAATGGCTGGGGTGAAGGCTTGATAAAGAGTTTCTGTCTAGCAGAGAAATGACTACTCAATTTCTGTCAAGTTCACTGCTTTCAGACACTTTTATGAATACTGCTTCCTACTCTGGAGGGAAGTGGAAAAGAACTGCTGGCTACTTCTGCAAGAAAATCAAGATAGCCATTCTCAGAATGCGCCAGCCATCTTGCTATCCTTTAAAGCTGTATGAAAGATTAGGAAAGAACTTGAAAGACACCGATGCAGTGCTTACAAATACTCAGGTTATGAAAGAGGTATGAAAATAAGATTTTCTCGACAAAAGTAAAGTCTATTTCACCCACTTTGCTTGTAGGTTCCAACGGGGAAAAAAAGGTATTTGTTACGAAGACTTGGTAGAACAATAAATTGTAGGGGTTTTTTTCTTTGTCAATATTCAACTGCTATATACAGAAATAAAACCAATTTTTAAACCACTTCATGTTACAATAACCTTTTCTGAATATACGAAGGGCCACAGGGAAGATCATTTCTAGCGTGCGTAAAATAGGTTGGGGCAGGGTGAAAAGGGGCAAACTTTCCAGAACAAATCCTTCCTCAGGTCACATCTGCTTTAATACACTCATACGAAATAACATTTGTCATCTTAATTAGCTTGTTAAAAGATTTCACTGATAACTATATTAATTACACTATTTCACTTGTGCATAAAACCCTTAAAGCTTCTGAGCTATTGTTCTTCAGATGTCAGATGTATCCCAGGTATAATGAGAAATTTTAATTTTAAATTAAACCTTTTTGAAATCTTGGTCATGGACCAACAATATGCAAAGTACATACTACAAAAAGAGTAATAGATAACAGAGTCTGCAAAGACTTATCTTTTTATCTGACTGTATGACTGTAAGAGTTTAGTAATAATCTCATTCAAGTCAATGGAACATCTTTTGACTATCAATCTTTTCAAGATTAGTCCCTGAACGTTGCCTTCCACTCTCCAGGTTATGGTATAAAAAGGCATGGGTTTTATGTCTAAATCCAAAACTCTCTGAAATCAGCTGAAAGATCTATCCCATTCCACAGGGAAGACGAAGTCCAAAATGGGTTTCAGCCCCTTTGGCAGCCAAGAGCTGTCACCTAGCTGACATTTCTGTATTTGTTATCAATAAATCGTATCTCTCTATAAAAAGATGATGGGGAAACAGAGAAAACAAGCAATCATTTCCTAAATAAACAGAGCATTAGGGACCTGCCAAAGAGATGTTGCCGAATCAGTAGGATAATTGGCAAACAAAAACATCCACGCTGTTTCAGGACCCAGAATTTGGAGCACTGTCATGGGGTAACTACAGAAAACACACCATCTAGTATCTTGAACTAACAGTTTTCTTTTTAGAAGACTATCACTGAATTTCAAAGAGAGACTGATGTACTTTTGTTTTCTAGCATTACATTAGCCAGGGCTAAAACCCTGCGCATGAAAGTAGGAATTGATCTTTTGTCTGTTTTAAGTGATCTCCCCAAGGTCCCTGCGCTCACTTCGCTGCCATGCAGAGGGCACTCTCTGCATCACGGATGCTCTCTTTCAGTCGACGGTTGTCCTGCTCCAGCTGGGTAAGAAGTCTATCGAGCTGACGCAGAGATTGATCTTTTCTTCTCAGCTCCATCTTTGCCTCGGAGAGTCTCTGCAAGCAGACAGAAAGCAGAGTTACTTGTCAGCCCAAATAATTAACTTCAATTTATGCCATAGGCTATTAAACAAAGTGGAAAACAGACTGACCGTGAAGTAGATTTGGACCATTACATACTAAGGTTTTATGAATTCTCTAGCAAAACCATTACTGACTGAGAACCCCCCAGTTTTTAGTATATTGCCTATGTACAAATATGTTACAGGTTAGCTGCAATCCTTTCTAAGAATAAATCACTATTTTATGGCACTTTCACTATTTTAACAGTAGTTTTCCAATGTGCAAAATAGTACATGTATTTTTTTACTGTTTCTCTTCAGCTTAGAATTGCCGACACAACATGCTTTAAATCAATTCAGATTAATCCAACGGATGACAAATAGCACACAGAACTAATTAATACAGAACCTGGCTAGTTGCTACTGCTTTCTGCTGGGATAAATCAATGCTTTTATAGAGTGGAGTATTAATAATGTGATTTCATAGTTTGCTAAATGTTACATTTTACTTACAGCTGTTAATTCCCTTTTTAGAAAGAAATTATAATAGGTGGCTATAAACATTCTTTTACAAAATGCAAATTCCCTGACAGATTCTAAACCAATACAGAAGGACAGAGAAGGCTGCACAGCTGCAACACTAAGCTCTTGCACCTTGTTTTCAGAATTTGTGGATATGTTTTCTGCTTAAGTTCTAGAATGCTCTGCACAATTTGTACTCAGGTGTACTTCACCTGGACTGTGGAACACAGACAATACGTATTATGCTGTGGATGTGTATTAAGAACAGTATATGCAAAAGGCTGATAAAAATTTGGACTGAAAAAAAAAATTTGGATCTGAAAAAGCTTCAGATCTAGCGAAGAGCCAAAGGCACTTCAAAGAATAATATGCTAGAGAAAATTTCTATAAAATAACAAAGTACCATATAAAACTGCCTAATCCTGGAAAATAAACTGAAATCTGTGGATGGGCGCTAAGTTTTCTTCAAACATTTCTCAAGACAAAAAAGCTACCAGCTATTTCAATGGCGTATTTGGAAGGTACAGCACCACTATCTGAACATTCTGTTCAGCAGTTTAAAAAAGCCAGGTTAAAGATTAATCACTATCATAAGAAAAAAAACAATCGGGAGTTTATTTAAGAAACTCTAAACCCCAGAAATGTTAATATTAGTCTTGCTCAAATTACTGCAGGTTGAATAACTCTGTTCTGCCTCTTATTGTCATTATTTTCAATGAAGGATGCTATTTGACACCTAAGAAAAGATAAACACACAGATTTCATTCTTCCACTGCGTTATTAGCATAAATATATTCAAAACCAGAAGCGTTGCTTTCAGAAATTCTATCCTAATGCCATCGGCAGCTATCAAAGCCCTGTCTGAAGAATGAAATTTGTGAATTGTCAGATTTTCAGAAAAGTTATTTCTAAGAAACCTGATGTGGATTAGCAAGGATAAAAGGAGCCGTCTCTAAGAACAAAGAATATTATCTTCTTCCATTTATTGTGTTTACTGCTTGTTTGTTTTAGGCTAAGTCAGCATTGAGGAAACAGCTCTGAAAACTGAGTTGAGTGGCTCCCTCCCCGCCCCCCCATATTCCCATCTTTTGACAAACAAAATTTATTGCGTATAAGCTTAGTCAGGGGAGATTCAGGTTGGATGTTAGGAAGTATTTCTTCTCTGAAAGGGTTGTCAGCCACTGGAATAGGCTGCCCAGGGAGGTGGTTGAGTCCCCATCCCTGGATGCATTTAAGAAAAGGGTGGATGAGCTACTTAGGGATATGGTTTAATGGGGATTAGGGACGGTTGGACTCGATGATCTCTAAGGTCTTTTCCAACCTAGAAATCTATGAAATCTATGAACAGACAACAATGTCTCTGGTGCCAATGCTTTGTCCACCCCACGTTCTCATTTAATTGAAAAAAATCTCTTTTTAAGATGCAGTCACGGGACTGAGCTCTGGCCAATGTAGAATAGATAATTCTGCTAATATTTTGATGCAAGCAAATTTTGATGTAGATGCTGCTAGAATAGAGCCTGGCTCCAAGATTCTAGTGGTCTAAATGAGTGAAGAAAGACAGGATAATAGGAATATTACGCATATTTATTTCATTTTTATTATATAGCTATTCTTCTACAGGTGCTGAGAAGTTGCCTGCTCCCACACGAAGCTTTCATCACTGATCACAAATGGTGAAGAGACCCACTAGGTGACAAAATCTTCTCAGAGCTGCTAACTAATCTTGCTTACCAATTGCACGCACAGGCCTATTAATGAGGCAGTAACAGAGATGAAGGCATGAAGCCTAACTCTGAGAGGCTTGGCCAGCAATCCACACTAGCTGGTGACAAAGCAATACAGAAATGATTAAATCAAATATCTCACTAAACAGCTGCTTTATTACATTCAAAAATTTCATCATTATTTACAGAAATCTCCAAAGGATTCAGACTTTACCTATCAATAATATTGCAGTATCTAAGCAAAAAACAAACTGATTTTAGCTCTCTAAAAGCAGTTTCAGCATTCACTTGAAGCTCCTGGCTACGCCGGGTTAAAGTCAAGCCTTGGAAATTGTTCAAATACAGTGTGGAGCATTCTAAAGTAATGGCTACTAAGCCTCTCTTTTTTTCCTTCCTCAGATTGATCTAATTAAAACCCTTGATAAACTTTATGGACTCTAATATTTCCAGCTGAGTGACTGAAACCAAGAGGGTGTGCCTCAAGGCAGCAAGGCAACAATGATAAGCAGCAGGTTAGCCACTAATTTCTCAGCCAGGGTAGATTGTGAAAGTGTGATGTTCTGATATCCAAGAAAGTGTTCAGGAGAGAATAGGATAAATCAAGTTTAATAACTCTGCTCCTAATTGTTCCCTCACTGCTCCACTCTAATTACTTGGAGAACTCTCCTGACTGTCACCTGATATTAAGTTGTTGGAGGCTGAGCGTGGAGCAGTGAGATAATCAATAAACATTTAGTGGGGAGAAGAATGAAGATCCCGTTAAGCAGTGGGAACCTGCAGCACCCAAAGCCCTTCTGCTCATGAGAAAACCTATGGGAGAGTCATAGTGATTGCAAAGCAATAATCCAAAGCACTGTTTTTAGGCCTTGAGGCCTTTAGGCAACAGTACGTTTGAGAAAAAAAGGTTAACACGGTCACCCTAATTACAGCCCATTTTCACATTCTTCATATATAAGCGAAGACAAGCCAATTAGGTAGAAAGGAAGATAAGGGAAGTTTTATTTGTATACTAATTAAACCCCTGATGAAATTAAAGGAAAAACATACAGCTCTGTAATTGTGTCTGAGAAAGGTCACTTCAGGTTCAGTTATCAGAAAAGCACAGCCTTGAGATATTTCACTTAATCCACAATATAGCCCTTATTTTGCCCCCCAGGTCTTAGTATTTACAAAAATAAGAAAATCTCAAAACCTGATAATGCATTTATCTCGAAATGTTTTCTGTGGACAATTACAATTGTTAGAAAGTTGAGGCTAAACATGATAAGAAGCATGAAGGTTTTAAAAACCTACTATGTCTGCACATAGTTCTGCGAAGATGCTGAGCTTTCACTTTCAAGCACAAGTGATTCTAAACCAACTTAGAAGCCAAACTCCAATTTATTGACATTCCCTAAAATGCCAGTTATCTGTTTAGTTCGGATATTTAAGCATTCAGGTGTTAATTCAGACATCATTGCACTCCTTCCTCTAAAGTCCACCAAAATCTACTAGATCACTTGAGTTTTCATCAGAATCCTTAGAAGGAGTTCCCTTCAGAAATATTTTAGATTCAGGCTTTTTTTTCCCCCATAAGCTGAGCATTAAAAAACGTTTGTTGGAGAGAACAGCAAGTAACCGATAGCACTGAAGAAAAATCTCATTGGATGTTTGTCAGCTGGGTCCTTCCACAAATAATTTTAAGAAGCTTAGGCTTTGTAGTGAGGAATCTCTTCAAAATCAGTTACAAAAAGAAATCCAAGTTTAACATTGTCATTCTTTACACACAAAAAAAAGCACTCTATTCAAAAGATAACAGATGGACAATCATTCTAGATGAACGATGACAGCCACACAGATTAAATTCATGCAAAACGTGTGACACATTTATACTGAGAGCATATTTTCCAAGATCAACTAAAGATAGATCAAACTGCCTACTAAATTAGATTTAAATTTTGCAGACACAACACAGCAGTACAAGATATGTAAATATACTGCAGTATGTGTATTATGAACTAATTTGTGAAATTAAAGATTTTGTCTTCAGAATAAAGTTTTATTTATATATTTTTCATTTAGATGCAAACTATTACTTTTTAAAAGATCTGTACACTGAATACAACCTGAAAACTGTCCTACATACACCACCAATAAAATTCCACAATGAAAAAACAATACAAAGTTTAGCCAGCATCCATTCCTCCACTAGCTGAAACATACTTCCCATTATCCCTGTTGACAAATACAATCCTCAGGACGGTCTCCGAATGCCTCTCAAAAGACAGCCTACAGATAACCTGGAGACGTCATGCATCTTCAAAAGGTCCAAATCCAAAAGGTACAAGAAGTTACATTAATATTTAGCATAAATTATATTTTTAGTGTGCATGACTGCAACACAAACCAAATCACATTAGCTCAAACTATATAGCTGAATTTCCACAGGATGTTTTCTGAAAAGAATTCATATCAAGAACAACTCAAAATGAAACTTCTATCAAAACCGGACATTAAAAATCTCAGGGAAAAAAAGTATGTGTAACTGAGACTTCTCACTGATAGATGAAAAAAGAAAAGAAATCTAAGAAAGATTTATACCTATGTCAACAAATAAGATGGATTTACACTCCTCAACTGGAAACCAAACTGCAATATCAACATACTATATCTGGATTCACTGTGTGTTCCATAGTGGCTGCAGCAGTGTCTGAAAACAGTCTGAAATGAACTCCATGTGGCTGTTCCACTCCTGCAAAGCAGAGCT